AATAGGGACATTTTTAAAGCTGTAGTTTATTTTGAGATATCCAATTTTTCGTTTACTTTCTGGATATATTATTACTAATATATATACAATTGAGTTTTCCGGCTTCCATTCTCATTTCATGAACGAACACTATAGAAATGGAAAAAATATCAAATAAACAGAGAAGAATAAAGAAAGATATATTCCAAAAGAAAGTACGGCTGTTGTAGACTTACTGGTTTAACTCCTTTCGTACTGAAATGTTTTGAAATAATAATCTCAGCAACCGCCTGCAAAACAATGGGATTTAGAATGCGGATTTCCTTTTCAAATTTAAAACACCGTTGGTTTGTTTCCCACAAGTTAAGCAGTTAGGTGCATGAAGCTATAAAATGGTAGCAAGCTTGTGAAAGAACTCGAGGTCTCTCCTCTTTCTGGAGAGAATTCTAAAGATCAGAATTAAGAGCATTGATATGAGGAATGTGACTACGAGTTATTTGTTGCAAATGGTTTTAGATCACTGCACATCCAACTAGAAAATAAAAGCAACTCCTACAAATATAGGCTGAATGTAAAAATATATAGTAGACCAGAATAGATAATGAGAATTCTTATGATACATGAAAATCTTATTAATTTTTACCTTCAATTCTACTCGGGAAACATAGAGTCTTTTCTTTAAATCATGAGAAAACCGTACATTGCACTTTTTCTCTCCAGACTTATTCCACTCTTTTAGAACATGAGGATTATTCCACATCTCTTCCATGTCCTCGGGAGTTGCTCGAGAATCCCAAAATGTATAAACAATAGCTGCACCCTCTTGGAGAGGAGAAAAGGGATTGTTATTTCCATGAAATGCAAATACATATATGTCTGCAGGCATGTATGTATAGCTATACTCTAGTGAAAAGAAATTAAGTTGTATATGCAATAAAGCCAAATCTCTTGGTGGGTTGAATGACAGGAACGACAAATGGGGACAAGGTACCAAAAATCGAATCACACTATTATGTATGAAAGGGTGTCTCTATCAAGTCCAACTTCTTGTTGTTTGCTTTCTTAGTTTCTCTTCGTTAATCATTTGGTTGTTTTCTCTCGGGAGGATTCTACTGTGATATGATTCATGAACACGATGTTTTGTTCATTTATGATACTAGGTTTTATTGTTGTCCTTCTTTATCTTTGGTTGTGATGAACGGTAAAAATTACTTCATTTAAGGGTAGAGTAATCATTACTTGCATTAGGTTTTAAAAAAGAGGACTCTATGTACTTTCTTTTTAGTCCAAAAGAGCCATTTTCCACTTCTTCATCGTCTTCTTTTTTACATTGTTCAACCTTTTCCCTTTCTGCTAGTATTTGAAGGATAGGATAAAAGAGCCAGTTCTTTATTCCAGCAATCTTTGTTAATATCGAGAAAAAATCCACAAGTAAATGAATGGCACATCAGACTCATGTAAGGAAATGCTACCTGTATTCCCTGAAGCAGTTGGATGGGACGTAGCAGAGGTGGAGGCTTCATTGATATGTTTCCTAGACATAACCCATGTAATGATGATCAGTTTAAAAGTCGTAGCATTGTACCAAGAATATATTCTTTCTACTTCTTATGACGCATAAGCAGTTAACCGTTTTAATTGTACATACGATTATTTACACGGGCTTCCACTGTAATACGAAAAAATAGATCTTACTGCAGTTCAAAATTTATTCATCTATAGAAAATGAGCACCTGGATGGAAGACTTTCTTTTACTGATAGATATCGTTTCCAGTATGGTAGAGTTGATTTATGAGTCGCCTTCTTTGTACCACCTTTATAGGCCCTAACTACAAACTCCTCGCTTCTTTCTCTGGAAAGGAATTTTCTTTGTTAATACACAGAACCATATATTTAGAGGGCTAATGATATTAACTTCTTAGCGGAAAAATATATGCACTGAACTAGAAGCTGCAGAAGACAACATATGAATGAGATGCAAGTTCAGTGACTTACTTATTCTCAAAGTTTGATAACCATTTAAGGTAAGCAGCCCCAAAATATACACTGACAAAGGGCTTGTTCAGGACATCTGGGTTCCCTTCTAATCCATAAGACTGATAACCCAATTCACTGCAAACCAAAAATGTTACTAGTGTAATATGTCCTAATTGGATTATATTCAATTAACTGTGCAATGTATATATTCAAATATGTAGCATATATAAAATAGTAAGCCATCATCTTCATACCTGACCAACCACCCAGCAGTTTTAAGTGTTAATTGCATGATCCCTAATGTTGTCTCCTTGGTTTTTTTTTGATAACGCATAGCAAGAGGCTGTCTATCACTCTCGAGTTCCGCTATGGCGCAGATCATTTCCTGCACAAGTTATGATGTACAACTACAAATCTGCAAATTAAGTAAAGCAACTATTTCTTGCAACTAGAAGTTCTAAGTATGAAGAACACAATGATTATGCAAAGCAAGAGGCTGGAAAAACAGAACTTACAGAATCTATATTGGAATCAAAGTGCCTCCGCACAATGATATCTGCCACTGCCTGGAGAACAACACAATATTACAATAATTTTAAGTAGATAATAATTTTAAAGGTTACACAACATTCCTTGTCTAAGAACCGTTCCATCAAATTTAAAGAAAATAAATACTTTCATTTTCTATGACAGAAATGAAAAAAGAAATTGAATAATCAGAAAGCAAATATTCAAATTTCTTCAGAGGATAAGTTGAAATTAAAACAAGGTTGAATTATTTTTAAAATCTTGTAGGGGTTCTTGAACAGTCTACATACAATGAAGGCTTATGTCCCCTTCACGTTCTAATAGAAATATCCAAGTTAAAGGCATAAGGGCTGCTTTAAATTCATGTCCATTAACACAAGAGAAAGCGTATGACCTTCATCTCTGTCTGAGTCAAATAAGGCTGTCCGTCTGGATCCCTTGAGAGGTGGACCTTCTGCGTTTTGGATTCCCCAGCATCTAACCATTCAGCGCATACTTCAGGGTAATTCCACATTGCTTCCATATCTTCGGGGTCAACACAATCATCCCAGTATTTAAATCCAATAGCCATTCTTGGCCTCGTCTATAGAACCACATTACCAAAAGCACAGAGTGTGTCAGTACCAAAGCAGCGTGTTGGCTATAAGCGGCACAAATTATAGAAAACAAAAGAAAAAGTTGAGATCCTATCAAACTGTGCGTCATAGTTCATTTAAACGCCATGCTGAAAAGTGTGAAACAGATACAACCATACATGGGGAACCTCCTCAAGTGAAACCATACTTTTGGTCCCAGAGTTTAACTTTGCAGAATAAGCCCAATAGCAGTGAAGAATCAATCGTGAGATGTTTAGTTACGCTGTAAGATAAAGCTAACCATGAATTATAAGGCCGTGTTTTGTTATTGAGATGTACGTTCTATACCTTTAAAATCGACGATTTTACATGTTGATATTAAACAACAACATCTTACACCCACCTGACGCCTATTTTTTTTTTTTTTTTTCCCGCCACAAGAGATAAGTTCAAGCTGGAAATAAGATCGATTCGAATAGAAAAATGAACATTGTTGAATTAGCTCATTCAAACATGAATGCCAGAAAGGTGATTATGTTTCAATAGACAGTGAAAAACACATGGGGTGAGAAAGCTTGCCACAAAGCAAAGGAGTCTATACTTTCTTCTTTTGTCCGAGTTTTCCCAATAATCACAACCCTTCTGACTCGTAGTAAATGGTGAAGCAGGAGGAGCTACGGAACTTCTAAGATATCCAACGAGAGAACTCCCTATCATCTAAAATCCCACAAAATAAACGAATATTCATCCCCTCAGGCATCCGCCTTTAGGAGGTTTGTATACCTAAACAAATCACTACCATTATCTGAGAATGTGCAGTCCATAAGAAGAAATCGGTTAGATCAAACGTGTATGCATCCATAATCATGCATCGTAACAGATTTCAATCAAAACCAAGTTCGAAGGATGCAGCAGAGATAGAAGGATTACCAGAATAGCAAATAAAACGATCGGGGAGGCCGCCGAAGGCGTGGAAATGGAAGTTTAGGGAGGAGGATTATGGAGCCGGAAGCATGGAATTTGAAGGAGATGAGATTGAAGGTGGACCATTGTTGCCGGAATTGGAAAAGAATGATATAGCATTGGTTTCTATAGAGGCGCGTGGCAGGGAGGCTTCTCATAGGGCACGACACGTGGCGTACTTGACTCAATGACTTCCCGGCGATTTTTGCTTCTATTGTTTGATGACTTTCACGCCAAAATTAAAATATTCGTCCATACTCCATCTCTTAATAATGTCACATTCAGTTTCTATCTTTAATAAATATTTATAAATTTATAAAATAAATTAATATTATTATATGCCTAACTTTAGAAATTTTCCATTAATATCACTTATTTGCTCTCTTTGGGAGAAACAAAAGAGTGACGTGGTCATTTGCATATGCTTTGTTTTCACTTATTAATTAAATGTTCAATTGGTCTTTTCAAAAAATAAAATAAAATCCCAACGGACGCCATCGTAGCACGTGCGGCATGTGCAATCTGAAAGCGGGTTCGTTCGAACTTTCCTTTAAGCTAAAAGGGTTCTTTGATGGGGCCCAAAGAGAAGTCCAAATCGTGAAAGCAAGGCCCAAAGACGTCCCACGTGGACTCCTCCATGCTTTACGTCAGATCCTGCCGTGTCATCACAAGCCGACAAATCAGGGTGGTTCAGATTCTGGGACCCGCGCTTCCTAAGTTCTAGTTTTATTTATGTGCTATCTGTCCCATTTATATTAGATTCTCTCAGAGAATTTATAGTTAGAATTCATTCATCAATTAAATTAATTATTTACGTTTTTTTAGGTTTTTTTTTTTCTTTATGATTAAAACAAAAATTACTATTTTATTAAATGAGGATATAAAAATAATTTTACATCATGAGCAAGACCTAAAAATACTTTTTTTTTTTTTTCTTTTTTTTTTCAAAGAGCCATTTTTCACAGATATAAATAGGGGCTCCCCGTCTTCTTCCTGCTTAGCTTTCTCCGACTCCGAAAAGGCACTGTCTCACAGGAATTTTTTTATTTTTTTATTCTGCGTTTGGGTACGACTGACGAAGCCTTTTCTGGCCATTCTTCACCTTCTCCTGTCGCCCCTTCCGTTACCTTCAAAAAGTACTGCTTCCATGGCCGCACTTCCGCTCTTCAGATCTGCACCCGCCGCTTCTTTTGTTCAAGCATCTCTTTCCTCCTCTTCTGCCGATCAGTTTACGGTCCTCCTCTTCTCAATATTTATATTGATCCTTTATCATCATCATCATCATCATTTCTCTAATACATCGTGTTCTAAAATGGAATTTAGTCAAATGTTGCAACACAGCAATACAAATTGTTCTTTACTTGTTTCTTTATAAGTTTATAATCGGTTGGAAATGGCCTTCGATCATGAAGAAGTTTTCGGCATATGCTTCTTACAGCTAACCTAGCGCATTCCATACTCCTCAGTCCACACCTTGTATCAATCAGCTGATGACACAGTTGTTTTCTTTCTTACCGTCGACTTCATTTTGTTTATGTAGGCCTCGTACGTTAATTTGAATTCTTCGAAGTTTCAATCGAGCATTTTCGGTGCCCATGGTCCAAGCGGTTCACTTTCCTTGCAGCTTCGTAGAACCCAGAATATTCAGCCTATTAGAGCTACAGCCACTGAAATGCCTCCGACGGTTCAGAGTTCAGTGTTAAAATTTCATATTTCATTTCTCTGTCTTGTTTTCCCCTTAAAAATATCATCAATAATAAAATAGAAAAAAAATTCTTGATGCTAATAATTTTAATTTGTTGCTTCTCAAGAACCAAGGAGCGGTGGAAAGACAAAGATCGGAATCAATGGTATGACTTGGTCGATTTTTTTACTATTCCTATAATTATTACTTCTTATTCATTGGCTTTCTTGTTATCAATCCCATATCGTTTCCTTTTCTCTTTGTAGTAGATTTCTGTTTCTGCAGCGTGTTTCAGCTGTGAGCGTTTCTGCAACAGTTACTTAGGAAGGAAGGAAGTACAGAATAGGAAAAATAAGTTCAGAAAGTGATTTAATAAAAGAAAATCTGCATGTGAAACTTTATCATAATGGCGTTGCTTTAGTTTTTGGTCTCTTTCAATTGATTGAGAGACTTAAATTTGAAAGTATAGCCTGCTTATTTTCGTTTCCACTTTGGAGCTGCCATATTTGAAAGATGGATTTTCATGTCCGTTATTTCACATGCTTATTGCGTGTTGGAAATCATTGGTCACAGGTCATGTTCATGCTACCCTACACTTGTTTCCCTAAACAGAAACTGATCTTTGTTAGTACCCAAATCTCTGTTTAGATTATTGAATTATACTCCTCCAGGAAGTGCTTACTGATAGAAAGTTGTAACTTATGAGGTACTTTATTCATCATTCTTTTCATTTTTGTTCTTCGTTATTGAAGAAATCAAATTATATATTTTGGCTTACTTGCCCGAATGATGTGACTTTTCTTACCAGTGACAACCTGGATATTTAATATAGATTGGATTACTTCATTCATTATTCTACATTAGTGTCTGAGAAACTAGAAGATTATCTTGGTTAGTTTTGTTGTCATTATTTCTTGAAAATCAAACATTTAACATGGCCTCTCATATCATGTAGACCTTGGTCATGTGGCCTTGACATTGCTATTTATTTTGTAAAGAAACGTCCACCCAAATAAAAACGTGAACCAGTCTAACTAATGCAGGTTTTGGACGTATTGGAAGGTTGGTATTGCGGATTGCAACCTCGAGGGATGATATTGATGTAGTTGCAGTTAATGACCCTTTTGTTGATGCAAAGTACATGGTAGTGGCAATCCGACCTCCTTTCAAATTACAACTTTTTAAAATTAGTCATTTTTTGTCATCCATTGGTGTTCATTTAGCTGTGGATAGGCTTTTATTCCTCCCTCAAGATTGATTAACCAGGATTATCTACAATGCCTAAGATCGTCTAAGGAGATATTAATGCTAAGAACTTTCTCTGCTCAAGTTTTTAATCCTGTCACTTGAAAATATAGACCATGATTATAGCCGTGAGAGGGTAGTTGAGTAATATTTCTTTCAGTGTTTCAACTTTCTTGAATTGCTTAGTTCCTCAAGCATTTGGATGAGAAGAAATGATTATAGTATACTCTTCATTTTATGCAGGCATACATGTTCAAGTTTGATTCTACACATGGTAATTTTAAGGGGACGATTAACATTGTGGATGATTCAACTTTGGAAATCAATGGGAAACAAATAAAAGTTTCAAGTCAAAGGTACTCCTGAGAAATCCACAACATTTAAGACATAAATAACATCTGGATAAGTTTTGCATGGTTTCTAACTACCAGGCATATATCTGTGGTTATTTCTATAGGGATCCAGCAGAAATTCCTTGGGGCGAGTTTGGGGTCGAGTTTGTTGTTGAATCCTCTGGGATTTTCACAACGACAAACAAGGCATCGGCGCACTTGAAGGTCTATAGACATGCTAATTGAGCCTAGTCCTCGCTCCATCTATATATGCCCCAGCATTATACCCATCTAATATTGAGACTGAAGGTCCCCAATTTCTTGACACCTCTTTGTAGGGTGGAGCCAGGAAAGTAGTCATATCAGCCCCATCAGCTGATGCACCTATGTTCGTTGTTGGAGTTAACGAGAAGACATATAAGCCTAGCATGGATATTGTTTCAAATGCGAGTTGTACCACGAATTGTCTCGCTCCTCTTGCGAAGGTGTGTGAATCCCAAATGCTTAGGCATTTTATGAAATAGAATTAATTAACATTTAAAGAAATTGAGTTCTACGGATATGACATGCAGGTGGTTCATGAGGTTTTTGGTATCGCAGAAGGTTTGATGACCACCGTGCATGCAACTACAGGTCTCTCTCCCCCTCCTGTTCTCCCCAAAAAATAGAAGGCAAAGAAAAAAATTACAAGGGACGATAATTTCCTTCTCTTTCTCAGCTACTCAAAAAACTGTTGATGGCCCCTCAATGAAGGATTGGCGTGGGGGTCGTGGAGCTGCACAAAATATCATCCCGAGTTCTACCGGTGCTGCAAAGGTTAGTGGTTGAAATAAGAGGCTTTGATTGCTACGTGGTAGAGGAAATTCAATAGCTAATAGTAATCTTTTATTAATTTCAACATTTTTAATAAGATTCTTGAACTGCAGGCTGTGGGAAAAGTTCTTCCTGAGCTCAACGGAAAACTTACGGGGATGGCATTTCGTGTTCCAACACCTAATGTATCTGTTGTGGACTTGACTTGTAAACTAGAGAAGAGCGCTTCTTATGAAGATGTCAAGGCTGCAATCAAGTAAATGAACTATTAGTTCCTTCTTACACACATTATTTTGAGTTTAATCATGAATTGATTCACGCATTAGTAATTGTTGTTTATCACTAATCTGTTGGTCGACCTGATTACCAACTAAAGGTATGCCTCAGAAGGCCCACTTCAGGGTATCCTCGGTTACACAGATGAGGACGTTGTCTCAAATGATTTTGTTGGTGACTCAAGGTATTATAGTCTGCACTGCTAAATTCTTCGCAAAGAGGGTATGGATCACGAATATAATTGAATTTTAACTTTACTGTAGGTCAAGTATATTTGATGCAAAGGCCGGAATAGGTCTCAGCGACTCCTTCATGAAACTTGTCTCCTGGTATGACAACGAGTGGGGATACAGGTACGTTCTATAGTGAAGTTATTAGAAACGAGTGCTTGAAATATGCTTTTATCCCCTTTCGTTTTGGTAAATATGACAATTATAATACACTCACCCAAACAGCAACCGAGTGTTGGACCTCATAGAGCACATGGCGTTGGTGGCAGCCAAGAAGTGAAGACTATTACGAGAGGTTTAGATTTCTGCCACTTTACAAGAATTTTGTGGAAGATCACAAATCGTCGAGTCTTTTGATCACTCTCTGTTCTTCATCGTCTTGAACAATGTAAACATTCCATTTAAGCTTGAAAATAATTATGAAAAACAATTTTCGGATTGACGCTGTTAAAGCGCATCACCTTATCAAATAACGGGGTTAGAATAACCTTACCATCTTCATTGTACTCTCTTTAAGCCATTTATTTTCCTTTCCGAATAACACTTTTCTCTCCAATTAAGTTTTATCACTCCCTAATCATATCTCTATCTCGCTTCCTGACCTTTTCTCCTTCAAAAGTTGAACATTCTCAAACATAAAGGTTACCGTACATGCAAATCCTATGATTCCCAACCTCAAATTTAAAAAAGATTGCAGCCTGTGCATATAATCTTTAAGCACTTGTGTAAATCTTAGCAGCCATGATCTGGAAAAAAAAAAGAAAGAAAGAGACTGGCATTGGACAAGTATGCAACAGTGTAGGTATGATGACCGAACCCAAAACAAAAATTCTTCCAGTAAATTTTGCTGCAGCAAGGAGCAAGGTATACATACTGTGAATACGCAGAAATAAAAACACACGAGGAAAGAGAGAGGTGCGTTCACAGTATTATTACCATAAAATCCCACTTTCCCACTCAATAATATATAGATGATATACCAAATCCAACAACAAATAAAATGTCTCTCACTCGGATATCAGTCACTCGCCATCTACCCCCTCTTGTATCTTACTTCTTCCCCCCAATGAATTCAACCAGAGGGTATTCAAATCACACCAGGATAAATACAAATAATCCCAAACCAATGGTAGTAGCATATCATCTTATTTGATTCAAATCATTTGGCTGCACAGTCTGGACTATGCCATTCTCATTCAGGTATTCGACAAACTCATCGATGAGGTATGGCCAAGCACCTTCGGCATCGTAATTTGATAGCGTAGGCTCCACAGTCTACAAATTGAGACAAGTAAGAATGGAATTAGTACAGTAAATGCAAGACATCACCACCAACAAAGGGGCAGTGGTGCTTCACCATTGCCGCCCCCAACTACCCCTCTGCAAACTTTCATTGGTGGATGTACAACAAATGGAGTGGGCACATTTTAGGTGCTAGAATAACAGCAAGGTTCGCAACCGTTTTTTTAAATCTAGATACTCAAACAGAGATTTGAAAAGTTTGTGAATCAAAGAATTGAGTTAGGAATTAATTTTTCAAAGTTCATAAAGTAGATCATTTAAATAAAAAAAATAAATAATAATAATAAAACAGGATTTTGAGGCATCTTTTTAAAATTTCATTCTTACCCTTGCAAACTCCAGAAGTTGAGACCATGTGTCCCTAGAAATAGCTTTATTATGCCGAGCCTGAATCAAGAAAGATTAAAATACAAATAGATCCAATAAATTATTAAGAATGTATAATTAGAAAACAGTACAAGCATCTTGGACTTCGGAATTTGAAGCAGATCAAATTCTAAACCCATTTTCCCACATTACTCAGCAGAAAGTAAACAAGAAACTACTGGCTAACTTTTGCACAGGACAGATCCATCCGATTGCACATTCTATAAAAATGTTCAAGATAGATAGCTATTGGATAAAATATACCGTTCTGTCCTTTGCATCCATAAGATATACAAGCTCCTTGATTCAAGGAAGCATTGCCCCCACACATCACAGATATTTGGTTTTTCAAAAAGACAGATTAGAAACATTACCTGCAAGAACTGACACCAGTGGTCGACGAGGGGCCACTGCTTTTCAGCAAATAGTAACTGCCACATTCCAATTGCAGTGTCCAATGCTAAAGATTTTTGCCCCTAAAACATGTAAACCCACTTTAGAAGTCCATGTATTAGGCAGAGATTGTGCTGTTATCTAACGCATGTGCCACTGAAGATAGAAAAACAGCTGTAAATAGATCCACCACAGAATATTCAAGCCGAGCATGAGTACCTTTTCTTTTGCCCAACCAAATGCAAAGTTGTAAATCTCACGGAACTTTTCTGGACAGACATGAAATCAATATAAACAAATCATCGAGTTAAAATCACACAGAATTTCAATTATAAGCAAGGATAATATAAGTTACAACATGATATAAGCAACTAAGAATACATACGTTCATCTTTCAACTCAGAGTTCATATATGGTATCCTTTCACGGAACCTCTCCAGAGAATCTATCCTGCCATCATGAATTGAACATTGATATTATGACAAGAATAATCTTGATCCCTTGCATGATATTCTAGTCCGAAAGAATATAACAGCAAACAATTAGTTACCCTAGTGCTTGTAATCCACCTATAAACTCCTGTTTGGAAAACTCACACATTGTGTTTGCCTTCATGTGCCATGAAACAACCAACTGCAGGTAATTGCGACAATATATTTAAAAATAAGCCTATCAATCAGAAGATGGGCACAAAATAAACTGAGATTCTTGCAATTCAGAGGTGAAAATATCACCTAGATCCATACTAATGTAGTAGGATTAGTGGCTAATCTACGATGATTTCATGTTTAATTCTTTTCAGTTTCCTTTTTGGATCCATCTCATGTATTCATTAACTTGATTCATAATAAAGATTCTAGAGTTTGATTCTCTGAGATTTCTCCTCAGTCATCTTCGGATATACCAATATGGTATCAGCGCAACTGCTTGGGCCAACAATGGTTGCTGTTGGTGGAAAACCAGGAAACTCTTGTTGAGTCCAATTGCTAGGGAAGCTTCATGAGTTGTGCTCGTTATACAATATCCCACATCTATTCAAAATTCTGATGTAGTAGGATTAGCGGTTAATCTAGGATAATTCCATGGTTAATCATTTTTGGTTGCCTATTAGAAATTTAGTTCTCCTTTATAGTTTCCTATTTGGATTTTAGTTCTTGGAGAATCCATCTCATGTATTCATTAACTTGATTCATAATAAAGATTCTAGAGTTTGATTCTTGGAGATTTCTCCAGTCATTCTTAGACTACACCACACACCTTGTGTAGCAAATACAGTGTTAACGATAATGTGAAATTGAAATATTCAGCTTTTTTTAACATGGGTGAAGGAAGCACCTAAAGTGACCTTGCAGTCATTTATGTGACTGCCTCTATCAAGCTACAAAATTATAAGAGGGAGAATGAGAATATTGATATCCAATCTCAGATATCTTCTCCAAGATGAAGCTTGACAAGAGTAAGCTTGTCAGGAGAGCTGTCTATAATTTAGCCCCTACTAAAAGGGATGCACGCATGTCAAGAATCTTGATAATTCTAAAATGAGATAGATAGCATAAAGCATTAATATAATTCACACATGAATGCCTTGTGTAGCAACAATTATTTTTTAAACGCATACCATCACTATATCTTGAGGATCCACCTGCAAAAATACGTATCTCACGTCAGTTCAATAGGTAGAAATAAATAGAACTGCATAGTTAATAGTTAAGTAGCAACATTTATAGCCATCAACTCATTAATTACACCAAACATAGTTGGGCACATAAATCACCTACCTGAAGGTCATTACAGAGCAGTGAGATACCATCAGCCAATATCATATCAACATATGGATCTGCCAACCATTTTAATTAACAAACTTTGTTACTTTCATGCTCATAGAAAATCATAAACTTTGTCAGCATGGTTTCAAGTTTACATAAAGAAAAGAAATCTAGTAATGATAAATGAAAACAAAGCTTACCTTTATATCTGTTATAAAGCTCTTCCAAATGTCTAGAGTCAGTGAACGCTTTAATTTGGGGTTGACTGTAAAATACATCAAAAGCTCCTTCAAGATGCCAATCACTAGCCTTCAGGGCCTGATGAGCAACCTTTTCACTGCATGATCAACAAAATATAAAAATCAATGAAAATATAAGATGGACCCCAATTCATTATCCATGCTTCTTTAGCTTGATACGAAAGAAAGCTACAACATGAGTTCAGAGGCACTAAAAGCATTTTTATCAGTCTTACTCTCTGTTCTTTATCATTGACGAAAATAATAATAATAAAATAATAAAATAAAAAAGGTTTATCCATTTTTATCTAACGGAACTAGTTCTGTTTTCTATAAATTTACAAAGTGTACCAGCAGCCTGTTCCCATTAGGAGAGAAAAAAATGGGGAAAAGCTTTCTAAATCTTTTGAATAAAATGTAAAGGGGCACCACTAAAATGATTAGCCATGAAAACCCATAGAAAAGTGAAACAAAGCATACGAGTCAACCATCTTCATCATTTTCTCTAGACGTAGAAAGAAAAATTACATGAAGAAAAAAACAAAACATTTCCCACGGTTGTTAATCAATTTGTTGAGTGATCAGACATATGATCGTGAGGCTTTACATGTGATAGATCTTTTTGTAGTCTCCCTCTGACCCCTTTCTTCTTCAGTCTGGTATTCTTAAATTTTTCATAAAATGCTTGAATACATTCAGGTTCTCATTTTTAACAGTTGCATCTTTTTGTTTCAAATCAACTGAAGATCAGCTTTCAAAGAAAAAGGAAGACTGTTTGTATTAACACAAAAATGCTTATTATATAGGAGATATAGAAGGGGACAATTTAAAAAACAAACAGAAAAATCTATGTCGTGTATACTATCTTAATGGGTACAGTACAACTATTAGATTTTTCCCCCTAATGACCGGATATCAAAGACTCTACTCCTCACATTATGTTCACAGCCCAACTCCACCAATACTCACGGAGGCTTCACCGACCCTAGAGCTACATCAGAAAATAGGTGTGTTGACTTATTAAACTTTCTATCTCGTTTCCAATACCTTCATAACTGTCTTTATTAACTATGACAGCCAATCCCTCCCGTTAATAATGTTAAAAGCATTTGATCAGAGGGGGTGTCAACTAAGCCTTGCAATGTTTGGTGGTCAAAACATGAGAGATAATTCAAATACCATGAAAATTAAAGTGAATTTTGCTTCTTCGGCAGAAGATGAAAATAAATAATTTAGGCAAGAAACCACGTCTACATCTACAGTTTATACATTATACTTAAGTCCATGCCAGTCCGTGTTATGAGATATGACTGATTTCTTAGATTATCCTCTTCACGTACATAAGGTTAGTCTTCCCTTAGACAAAGTGAAGCAACCGCACACAAACAGGATCTTGATTCCATAAATTTTAGTAATCAACTTAAAAGAAAGTTAAAATAGCTCATTAACGTACCTTGTACCAGTTATAGCCATAAACTGGTGGACTTTATCTCGGTGTCCTCTGCTTAATTTATGCTGTTAAGAACAAATACAATAAAAGTTAGATTATATGATGATGTTTACATGTATTGGGTCTATTGGTGTACACATAAAAGTCCACACAGACGACTGAGCATGTCAACAAAAAAAGTTGATCATGTAGCATCCACTTAAATAGTATAGAAGATGGTTACTCCATAAACCAAACCACAATCGTAACCAGAAGATAAAATCTCAATCTGAAATTCATGCAACCAAGGAATCGATACTTGAACAGAATTCCCTGGTGCAGTGAGTATCACACAAAGATAGAGGGCAGAGCGTTCTGGTTAGCAAATAAGATGGAGAAAACAATGTAGTTAACATAGATCCTAGCCACAGGACCAATAACTGGAAAATAATTAAACAACAATAACCTTGCACGATGTGAAGGGGTGAGGGGAGAGATATAATAATTGAATTAACAATAACCGACGAGAACACTAACCATTTCGGAGGTCGTGGATACAAGCCTAGCACGGAGAAATGGGAATCGGAGGGTAGCCTGAAGGCCGAGGATGGCTTCTCCGATTACGGATGACGATGAGAGAGAATTCTAGGGTTGTTCCTGGAAGCTCGATCTCTCTCTCTCTCTCTCTCTCTCTCTCTCGCTCTCTCCTTCTGCAAGAAGACAGTGCAGTTTTCGGTTCTTTTTTGTGTTATTCTTTTTTAAATTAAGAGAAAATTTTCCTCCCGGTTTCATCATTATTTTTATTAATTACTTCACATTATTTATTTTACAAATTTTTTAATTTCTTATTTTCATAATTAATTATTTGTTTTCCTATGATGATAATAATATTAAAATGCTCATTAGGGTTAAATCCGGCAACTTGTCTTAATAAAGGGGCCCATTTGAAATTTCCGTAGATTAATTTTCAAAGAATGGAGGGGCGGGGGGCAATTTTGTTATACTTGCCGGATTAGGGTTTTACTTTTCTTTTAGGTCCCTTCGCCCAAGTGCTATTTAAACGCCCCGAAGGATCCCCTTTCCGCCATACTTTCTGGATTAGGGTTCCTCTTTGTGCGAGTTGCGTTTTTCTTTTAATTTTTTGATTCAGTTCTTCTCTTTTTCAGTCCATTTGTTCCATCTAGTTGTGTGGCAGTGACGACGAATTCATATACCATCAAACTATGAAAGCGGTGTCCTGTTTCTGGGGCGAGCTTGTTGATGTCAACATGAATGTTTCTGAGCCTCTTTTCAAATTTGAGGCTTTCAATTTCCGATCTTATCTTCTCGTACTTCATAGAATGCGAAAGGCAACAAATTAGAGTCTCTGATTCGCTCTTTTCTGTAGCGTCGTCAGTGCTGTACGTTGCCGATAAGGATTTGGGGCCGAGATTCTGGCACTTGTCTTATCTTCCTAAGGCTTGTGCATTTAGGTGCTCCTACATTTTGACTATCCATTATTCTTTTCTTTTAAATTTTTGACATTTTTTCATTCCCAGAAGGAAAGCCTTTTAAGTAGAATAGGCTTCGTCTTCTCTTCTTTCAATTTTTCTGAACGGATGGCTGTTCTTCATTTTCTTTTTTGAACCATCGAATGTGTAGAATGGAACCCTAATCAGAATCATTGAGTACGGAGAATGAAATCAAAGATTTGCTATAGAACGAAGGGTTAAATCGATGGTGAACATGTTCTTAGTATGAACAATATGAATGAACCAATGAATTAATGGAATATAATATTTACAAAAAACGAAATGAACAACGTCTTTAAGTACCCGCCCTAGCCGGATGAAATCGCGAATTGACCGTCGTGAGCTAGCTCACTTCAAGAACAATTGGTCACTTATCGCCTATCAAAGCCAGTCTCGATTGGTGGGAATTATTCCCATAATTAAAATTTTATGGTATTTTTTTACCAGTACAAACCGTCAAATAAACAACTTATTAATTATTCTCCTAATAAATTATTACTAGATAAAAAATTAAGAGTAAAAGATTTTACCCATATGTAATAAAAGTAAATATAAATTCTAAAGAAAATTATTTTGGGTTATCTGTATTTAATAGATTGAAAATTATTTTGGGTTCTATCTATATTTAATAGATTGATTAAACGAACTTATGAAAATAATTAAACATTAGTCAGTGATTAAAGAAGAACGACGTGGAGTCGCTTTCATTTGAAATTAGATATGAGCGTAAGACATAAAAAAAACAGTCCTGAAAACTCAAGTATCACAGTTGGGTGTCACTAGTTCCAGTAAATGAACTCGAGGGAGGTTTTGTTCTAATGCAAAACAACCTAATACCAAGAAGTAATGTGATTTGTCTCAAGACAACCAACTGTAAACGAATGGTGAACGCCATTCAAATGCAATAAACACTAAGTCAGAGAACAGAGGTTCCACGCAGCCAAAGTCTTCATCACACTATAGTAAGCCATGGTCATGACCTTTCTATTACAAGATCGACACCCACAAGTTTGCTTCCTGTAAGGAGGTCAGAAAAAGTTTAGATGAAAGAAAAAAGGATAGAATGACGAGGGAAAGTTTACCAAGTAACATCATATGAATCAATTTACAGGATGAAAATAAGGTGAAGAAAATTCAAAGAGGAAGCTTGTCCAATGGCTTTAGAGTCGCAATACGGCTAAAACCAGGTTTCATGTACTTCTCATACGTGACTTTCAGCTGTCCCAAATGAGCAGATTGGTGAAATTTCAAGATTTTCTCAGCACATTCTCTATAAAACAATAAAAAGATTTAGTATATGCATGCGAAGGTGTTATATTACGAGCTGCTATATGTGTTAGGAGCTACCTTATTTGGGACGCTTCGTAGCGTGTATGTTTGTTTAGTAGTGCGGTCCAGCATGGACTTATTTGCAACGTACACCGTGCAACATATAGGGCCGATGCACATAGCAACGACGGCTTGAAACTAAGAGCTTCGTATTCAACCAAGGCCAGCTCAATCAAGTAAAATGACAAGTGTTCAAGCTGCAGCAGAATTCAAAGCAGCACACAACTATTAGAATTTCTTCAAGTAAACTATATCACGATAGTCTCTAGAGGCTTCCAAACCTGAGTATTAGACTGAGCAGCCTTGAGAAATCTTAACATAAAAACATATGGAGTAGGCATGTTCAAGCGAAACTTCAACTTCTTAAGAATAAGTGCTTCCTGGAGGGAGATCAAAACATACAAAAAGGAGTTTCAAACTTGCCATACTTGAGGAAACAGAAACTTTCAAACTTCCTCTACCCGGCTGGTGATTTAGTGAAAATGAATGATTTATAAGTGATCTAATAAAAATAAATTTCATACCAAAATGAAAATTTAGGAGGTGATTTTGGACATGAGAAAAGTAATTTTAACCATTTCAAAATCACTCTCAAACATGTACTAAGAAATACAAATACAGTATTTGTAGTAAAATACTAATACTCTCTATGACAGCAACTCCTCCACTCCTGCCAAATTCAAAACAACGTGCAGTTGCACAAGGATAACTGATCAAACCGGTTGAACCAAGGCAGTTTAGTCTGTTCGGTTAATTGGTATCCATTAATTCAAGTGATATAATTTTAGCTGGATTTTAGTCAGTTTAATCAGATATCAGAGGATCTCATAGCAAGGCATAATACGTCACAAAAAATTACAAAAGCCAACACTTTTCCTGATTGAGCGACCATGGTTACAGTTGAAAATGATTGAAGGATAATATTTTTCCTGCATCCTCAACCAGCCACTTAAAAAGTCGAATATACTTTGAAGAAAGACAGTTCAAACTGTTGAGAATAAATATCCAACCATACCATTTGTAGCACTTGCTCTCTTGAGTAGGACTCAGCTGAAATGCTAATTAGATCTTTAACCTGTTGCCAACGGACACCACAATGTCTGATCAGCCTAACTTTCATCGATCAAGCATAATGTCAAAATAGATAAAATTAAAATATTATAATATTTACCCTAGGATGCCAAAAATCTTCATATTTCGATGCCAATAACAATGCAGTAAGACCAACCAACTGCATTTCATTCTTCTTGATTATGACTTGGGAGAGATACCGATCAAACAATGTAACAGTGAGAAATACTGTTTCAGGCATCAAGTCAAATTTGAAGTGTACCTACGACCAAAAAACATAGATATAGCTCATAGCACAACATGTGTGTGTGTGTGTGTGTGTGAGAGAGAGAGAGAGAGAGAGAGAGCCGGATAGGTAACGAAGGAAGAAAAATAAAGAAAAGCGGCAAAACTTGAAAATAGATAGGTACTTCAATCAACCAGTTGATCAAAACGCCTCGCATATGGGGGTTAATTTCTTTTTGTACTGATAAGTAATTTGAAAGAGATGAGCTTTGTGCCTGAAATCAGAAACAAATTGAGTTTGTTTAATACAAAATTGGCAGTTCTAAGTCGAAGATATATCACAGAAATAGGCGTCAAGAAGTTAATAAACATAAATAAATAAACTTTGCAAAATAAATAATTGAATAAGCAGCTGACAAATTCAGATTGAAAACCACAGAAAGCCTACTCTAGGACACTTCAATATGGCCACGAAAAGCACAAAATAAAATAAAAGGATAATGGATGTTAAAAACTGTCAACTCTTTTTAGAAAGAATAACAAACATCACCTCTGTAACCCAATAATAACGATATATCTCCTCAACGTATTCAGCAACCTCCATTTGGTTGTGGTCATTGTCAATACTCGGTAGGTTAGCCATCTCCGTAGCTACAGCACATTTATCCAGCAACTGCAAAATAGTGGCAACGATATAAGCTCAAAAGAAGCCATAAGTGTGGTGGTATGCTATCAATGCTAATATCACCTTTGCTCCAGCGACCAACAAGGATGTATACGATCTCCTACGACCAACTTTTTTCCTGACAATCAAATCCGTGCTTGTACTTGGATTACAAGTAGGTTCAGATGCATCACTCCCTTGAATGGACATATTGGTTATATCCTCACAAAGAGATGCTGAGGGTTCCACAATCTTGGATGATGATGCAGTACTAGAAATTGATTTGATTGCAACTGATGCATATTTGGCTTTTGATGCCTCTTGAGTACCAGAAGCCTTCTTCATGATCCTTGCAATGGGCTGGAAGGTGACATTGTAAAAAAGCTTCATAATATACCCTCTAAAAATGTGATGCAATGGAACAAGAACACATACTATTAACATCAATGAAATTGGTGAAGGGAAAAAAGGTTCTTATGCAGCAGTGAACAGAATTAAGTATCTATAGACACGTTGCATAGAAAACATATTGCTGCAAATGATAAGCAAGTACCTTACTAGACTTTTTGGACAGTGTATTTGTGTCCACCTTGGCTTGACCCCTGAAATTCCTTTACCACAGTCAGAAGTTCCAAATAGATTTTCCTACTTGCTTAACATTCCATCAGCAAAAGCAAAGATGGCTAAAAAACATTCTTTAAAACAAAAAGAATTTGCTTGTTAGCATTGTGATGAGAAGATGTTTCATCAAACCAATGAAAAAGGAAACTACTACAACGCATTTAAACAAACTGTTTTGAATCATTGAGTTTTACAAGTGCTAACATTATGATGAAGCCATCGCTCACTCGGTTATTCCATAGCCGACTTCTGATATTTTTTGCCTGGGCTACTGCATTCTTGCCAGATTTAGCTAAAAATGGAGAAGAAAGGGTTTAGTCCTATCCAGATCTAGTCTGTCATCTGAAGCAAAAAAAAAAAAAAAACAAAACAAAAATCTAAATTCATACTCAAACATGCTTGAGATCTATTGGTCTTTTCAGGCTTCTCAGTAACTTCCTGAAAGTAGAAAATACACACTTATTAGAAATACACGCCATTAAAAATAACAGGTAAATTGATTCCATTCTACATAAAATAAATATTTGGGTCATATCATCATATCCCAAAGAAATGTAAAATATATCGTAATCTAGTGATCCAAAACCTTTGGGTTCGAAGCATTTGCTTGGTTCATCCTCCTTAGCACCGGTAAAGATATCCTTCAAAACAAGAGACAAACAACCTATATGATTCAGTTGTACGTCATCTTGATTACAACAAAGAGGGGAAAGGCATTTGTTAAGCATTGAACCTTGTTTGCGAAAAAGAGATCTTTTTAATTCTCCTGAGAAATAAACAAGAGTTCAACATAAAATTTATTAAAAGGTCTAAATCTACAAATATGCACACGAAAAGGCATGTCATAAATGCCTATTGGAAGAACAAAATTATAAACCGTGTAACTTTAAACATTTTTATCATTGTTAGAGTGGAAAATAATATTTAAAAACCTGGTATTTACAGTATTGGCACAGCAGGGACCGTCTGTTTTGTTTCTTTCATAGACGGAACAACCATTTGAATCATTAACACGCCCTAAAGAGTAAAGCAGGTCAATACTACATGATAGATTATAGAAACTACAGAACATTTTTTTTTTTTATATAGAGAAACCTTTTTCTGAAGCATGCAATTCACCCACAGCTTCTCCTGTATTCTTCGTTTTTCCCTGTTCAAGAACAACAAAAGCAAACTGAACAAATTTTGTTGGTGATATAAAAAGGGCGTCGTACTTTAAAGACTTGTGATGAGAGAAAGACACATTATTTACACAACTAAATCTAGCAAAAGTTTACATACCAATGGTTTCCTAAATGAGACATTGACGCCAGCAGTGCTAGCTCTAGTCCCAGTTGAAATCCTACAGAAACAAGTGACAAAGACCATTTGCGTCGGCTTAATGTCTAAGAAGGTAAAGACTTAAAAAGTAAAGGCCAAGGAGAAAACTTGTATATTGCACCTTACAAACAGCGTGTAATTTCCTAAATCCTAGAAGTCAAATTGTATACCAAAAAAAGGATCGGAAAAGTTTTTCTTTTTTAACAAACAAATTTCTTCTGCCTCTCATCACAGACCGAGAGAGCGTGAGAGAGAGGTGATGCACATGACTCACTTATGCTTGGAGCCATCTTGAATTGTTTTCCTAGAAGAGTTGGCTCGGACGTTACTCACATCTGCCAACGCTCTTCTTCTTGTGATTTTGGCCCCTGAAGAAACAGTGTAGAATTTCAATTGAAATAAACTCACAACATTATCTAAATTTTCTATTTTAAAACACCATCTCTATTTCTTACCAGAAACTTCAATTTTCTCTGTATTCTTCTCTGAGCGCTGCAGGCCTCCCTTAAATTAGAAGAACCTCAAATGTAAAAGTTAATATGTGACCAATTTTCCAACGAGACTTTATGTTGTCTTCCTACGGTTAGAATTTTGACCCACAAGCTTTGAGAAGAAGGTTGAATTACCTTTGGTTGATTCACACAATCTGTTGAAGGCTCCTTTTTCATTGTTACAGGCTTCCTACAACACGGAAAATATCGAACAATTAACTAGTCAGGGGTTTCTTTTCCAATAAAAGGAATGCTTATATTTACGATACGTACAACCTAAAATGTGGCTTAACCAAAAAATTTCCAAGCATTTCAATACCATCAATGGGAACAGAAGAGAAGTAAAGTAGAAATACATCGTGTGGAGAGAAAAATATTAAAGGAACATTAGTAACACTTACTTGCAACTGGAATCAGCTTTAATCTTATCTTTCTCCGTATAAACCTTAAAACCTCCCATTGCTGCTTGTACCGAGGGGGGTGAAGAAGTCAGTTATTAATCATCTACTACATAGCGTTGGAGAAGATTTGAAATGCTAAAGTATAGATTAAGTTTATCTTACCACTCCTGCGGGTGCGATTATCCTCAGTGGGTAGACCCGCATCCAGACAGACTTTAGCCTAATTTCGAGCAACAGTATCGTTTAAGTGTAATCAAGGAGAGGAGTATGATCTATTCGAGAAATAAAAGACCTAGTGGCATTTGATATACCTTGGTAGCCACCATTTCTGACTGATCTTAATTTCCAAATTCTGATCCCTGATCAAGAAGAAGATTTAGTTCCCTGCTCAAAATCAGTCCACAGACTCAAATTCACGAACCCCAGGGGAAAATGCAGCATAAAAAAAATAAAGTAAAAAATGGTCGGGATCCAAGCAAATACTTGCAACCTTGGCCAAGCTTCATTTCCTCCTAAACCCTAATTCTTCTTCAGTAACATACAACAAAGTAAGGACAGAATCTAGACTTAAAGCAAAGGGGAACTACATTCAATAGATAGAAGATGAGTTTGAGAGAACCTTAATAGACGAGAAACACTTGGACGTTCATCTAAACAAATATCCGCGGTTGTCTGTTCAAAGCTTTGTGTTCTTCAAATATAACACGAAGAGACAGACGGCACCCTCTTTTGCTGGCAGCGGGAGCGGGTAAACACCAACGTAAAGGTTTTCAAATTTAAAGTAAGTTTACGGTTCTACCCCTGACAAAACTAGAAATAAATTGTTTAAACAAAATGGCCCATGCAGGTTTCGAACCTGCGACCTTCGCGTTATTAGCACGACGCTCTAACCAACTGAGCTAATAGGCCATGCTTGTATAATAGTCTCGGTCTTAAAAAAAATATAAAATAATATATAATTAATATAGTAAAAAGTATATTTGGTGGGCAGTAGTAGTTTTGTTTATTGCAAACGCTATTATAGGAATTATTAGGGAATGATCAACTTTTGCTGTGAGCCACAGCCCAAGCATTATGCCAAAATACTTCCTCACTAAGCTGCCCATAATTCTTAGAAAAATTTTATAAAAGACAAAACAGCATATTATGTCCTAAGCATCAAAATCTATGGGTTCTTCATTTAATAAACATTTATTTTAAAAAAAAAATAAATTAAAATCTCCTCTTTTTTTTTCTTTTTTTTTTTTTTCCTTTATAAAATATTATATTCACATGGAGAAATTCTTGTTTTCTATGATTGGAATGGATGCCTCTCGACTCTCGTTGTGAGCCAGCCAGTGAATTTTAAAAGGAACCAAAGACCTTGCCCATTCTTTTTCCTTTTTTCCTCCTCACCCTCCACTATTAATTCATCTTCTCCTCCACCCCACCATCCGCAGTAAAAAAAATTCCAACAAAATGTTCAAATTCTCTCTTCTTTTTGTTTCCCTCTGTCTCCCTGCTCTTGTCTCCGGCGGGCGGGAGTCATGCACGTGTGACTCCGATGCCGCCGCCGAGCACAACGCCGCACAGGAAGCGATCAAGTACAAGCTGGGGTCGATTGCTTCGGTGTTGGCGGCCGGAGCTGCAGGGGTGAGCCTTCCTTTGGTGGGCAAGAGGATTCCGTCTCTGAGGCCTGAAAAGGACATTTTTTTCATGATCAAGGCCTTTGCTGCAGGGGTCATTTTAGGCACTGGGTTCGTCCACATACTCCCCGACGCCTTCCAAGACTTAACCTCCCCATGCATCGGACAAAATCCTTGGGCCCACTTCCCTGTCGCCGGGTTCATTGCAATGGCCTCCTCCATCGGCACCTTGATGGTCGACACATTTGCAACCACCTTTTACCACAGACGCCACTTCAGTAAACCCAAGCAGTTACTTGCAGACCAGGAAACAGCCGAGGAGCATGCCGGTCACGTGCATGTTCACACCCACGCCACACATGGCCACGCTCACGGCTCCGCCGCCGCCGCCGTACCCGCAGAAGATTTGAGTCTCACAGAGTTAATCCGGTACCGGATTATATCTCAGGTATGTATAAATACAGGGGCGGCGTGTATTTAAAATATATATATATATATATTCAATCTGTTGAGCTTTGGACGGATTCTCAGGTGTTGGAATTGGGAATTGTGATTCATTCAGTAATAATTGGTATATCTCTTGGTACCTCCCAGAGCCCTGCTACCATTAAGCCGCTGCTGGTAGCTCTGTCTTTCCACCAGTTTTTTGAGGGCATGGGCCTCGGTGGCTGCATATCCCAGGTAAATTCCAACTACATCTCATTGGAACCAAGTTCTGACTTTGTAACGGTCACTGCTATCCTCTTTTTAGGCTTCCCTCAACATTTTTAAAACATATTAGGGAGAAGTTTTCTACACCCTTATAAAAGGTGTTTTGTTTTTGTTCTCTTTCCAACCGATGATGTGTCTACCCCTTCGAGATGCTGATGCTCAATCCTTTCTCCAATCAATATGTGAGCCCTATCAGGGGTCCAACGTCCTTACTGGTACACCGCCTTGTGTCTACGTCCCGAAGCCCAGCATCTCGCTAATACTTGTTCCTTTCTTCAATCGATATAGGACCCCATCAAATCTACCCTTTTGGGGCCAATGTTTTTATTGGCACACCGCCTCATTTCCTCCTTCGGGGCTATTTGTAACAGTCGAGGCCCACCTTGAGCTCTCCGTTCGGGCTTACCCTCAAAGTTTTTAAAACGCTTCGGATAAGGAGAGGTTTCCACACCTTTATAAAGGGTATTTGGTTCTTCTCCAAAACCGACACAGGATCTTACATGACTATACATTTGGGGCGCAGGCACAATTTAGGTGGCGATCAGCGGCAGCAATGGCGACATTTTTCTCAGTGACAGCGCCGGTGGGAATTGCAGTGGGAATCGGTATCACGGGAGTTTACAGAGACGACAGCCGGAGGGGTCTGATCGTGGAGGGAAGCATGAACTCGGCATCGGCGGGGATATTGATATACATGGCGCTCGTGGACCTTCTTGCTGCAGATTTCATGAACCCGAGGCTGCAAAACAATTTGGGGCTTCAGTTAGGAGCTAATATCTCTTTGCTTCTCGGGGCTGCTTGCATGTCTGTATTGGCCAAATGGGCTTGATCCAAATTTCTCACCATTTTTTTTCCTATCAAAAACCACATGTGGGGCATTAACCGTCAACAAAGAGCGACACTACCCGCTCCCCTTTAGTAGCTAGCCACTCTTGAATCAATCAATTTAATGTTTTATTTCACGCATTTTTATATAATCAAAATTCTTTTTAAATGATAAAAATTATGTTTTCCAGTGATTTTTAATTTGACAAAAGTCACTAATCACTTTAAAATTAGGCTCATTCATGTTCTTAAAAGACACATGTTTGGCGTCATGACTCAAGAAAGTCATTAGGGGCGATAATTGGATTGAAGGGAGGAGAGTGTCACAACCTCACTAAGAAAAAGAAAGTGTCATAACCTCACTAAGAGAAAGTAGGATGTGACTCCCACATGTCAAGAGAGGCAAAGGGCGTTCATTCAGCCAAGATTGAGAATTGTCATGATTGGACCAAGGAGGATAGTGCAACATCCAACACATCAAGAGTGTGAATTGAAACTAAGTTGAGGCATAGGCAAGGTTTAAGAGAACAATGGGATAGGAGTGTCAAAGACAAGCTCAAAGAGGGCCGGCTAGGTCCCGGGCCATAACTTCTAAAATCGAGATTTCAATATGAGTTTTGGCATGTGGCATAGCTCGAATCCCCATTAAGACTTATCGTGAGCGTGTCAAGATCACAATGTCTTGCAGTTGAAAAAACGACTACGACACTCAATAGCTTTTGGATCTGCCTATCTACAAAACTATTCTATAGGTGTAACCGACGAAATATTAATGCCCTTACAAGTAGGTGAAAAAACATAACCAAGTAAATGCCAAAACGCATCCTAAGCTTAGTGATACCAAAATGGGTCTAACCTTCATGGATAGGGCTAGTGGTCTAAATAAGTATATGAATGAGTACTTATGCTAAAAAAAAAAAAAAAAAAAA